CCATCTCCATTGCCTGGATCTTGATAGCCTCCTCGTCTTTCTTCTTCTTCTCGCGCGCCTTCTCCGCACCCTTGCCGGAGCCGCCATAGGCAGGCAATTTCCTGATGAGTTCGAACAGGCCCTCCTCGTTGATGGTTTTGATGTTCATGTCCCTGATCTTCTTCAGCTTACTGGGTCCTGCATCGTCTCCCAGGACGACATAGCTGGTCTTGCTACTTGGTGCTCCAGTAATTTTGCCACCGTACTTCTTGACCAACGCCTGACCTTCCTCACGGCCGATGGTTTGAAGGACACCGGTGAAGACGAATGTCAATCCAGAGAGACATTCATCCTCGCCATCGGGCAGTTCCGCGGCACCTGCATTAGCAGGCACAGCCGCGCTGTTTCCTCCACCACCGGCATTCTTCCTCCAGTCAAACTTGGGGGCATTTGGGTCCTGGGGTGGAGGTGTCGGAGGGCGGACAGTGGGGATGTTGTCGAGGATCGACTGATAAGCCGAATCTTCAGGTTCGTCTGCCTTTTTAACCCTGGGAGCGCGTGGCTTAGCGGGCGCCTTCTTCTTTGGCGGCTGCTCTTCCTCATCTTCCTCCTCCTCGTCGTCAGGAGTCTTGCGCCTCTTTGTGCCAGCTGTTGCCCTTGTGCTCTTGCTTGGGGTGCCATTAGCGGCACTCCGCGAGGCTACACGCTTCGGTTTTGGTTGAATATCCTCGTCGCTCTCGTCCTCCGCATAGTCGTCGGTCTTTCGCTTATTGCGACCCTTCACATCAGCAGCAAAGATGTCATCGTCATCCTCATCGTCTTCGTCTTTGTAAGCATCGGCATCGTCGTCGGACTCGATCTTGGTGTATGTCCTGGCGGCGCGCTTCTTGGGCGTTACTTCTACAGGTTTCGCAGTAGTCTTCTTGTTGCGTGGGCTGGTCCTGATCTCGACTTCGGTCTTCACTTTAGATGCTTGGTCTGGCTTTGCGGCGGATGCAGGCTTAGCCGCCTTGGAAGGTTTGGATGATGCAAAGTAGTCGCTAGCTGTGGTCTCGGTTCCCTTAGCAGCCTCGTCTCTGCTACAGGATTAGAAGCAATCGACGAAGAGGGCAATATAGTTCGCGTACTTAGCCTTCTTCCTGACAGCAGCTTTCGCTGCCGGTTTTCTAGGACGAGTTAGCTTGGTCTTCAACTGCAGGGTTTCGGAATCGACTAACGGCGCAGGAGTAGGGTCGGCATCATCGTCGCTGTCCTCGATGACTTTCCTGCCCCTTCGGGCCTTTGGGGGCTCCTCTACCTTTTTTGGCAGTGGCTTCGGGGGCCCGCCTCCCTTCGGCCCAAAGAATGACCTAATATCAGGCATTGCGTTTTGTACAGTCACCTGTCTTCCGTTGAGTGATTGTTGAAAGCAGCGAAAAGTTTATATCGAAAGTTGGCCTGCTGTTGCCTGGAGGGAAGTTGGAGGTTGACAGACGAAAAGACCAATCGAGGTCGCCGTGCCTGGCGTCAAGTCGGGAAGCGTGCACGTAATGGATTTCCAGTTGCTACGCGAAAGTGACGCGAGGTCCGTGACCCCGGTCAGTTCACTTTAGAGTGCTGTGGCGCAGCAGCTCCAGGCAAAGCCTCAGCAAAATTATCGCCCAACATCTCAGGCCATCCAAGCCACACCTAAGCTCTCGTGAAGCTAGGGACATTTTTTTGGAGATCGCATCATCAACGACGTTCATCGGCAAGTCGCAAACATGAGGCCCACCGCTCCTACGGCGCTTCTCAGCGCCTTCCAAGGCCTCAGAATATCTACGACGCCGACAGTCAGTCCTCTTAGGGCCGCGATCCGACCTCAATTGACGAAGCCGCTGGTCGCATCCCAGATCCTCCGCGATGCCCGCCCGTTTTCCACGACACCTGCAGCGCAGGGCACATGGCTCGAACCCTCGATCGACCGAACGAAGAAGATGATGAAAGGACGTCCTCGCGTGGCTACGGGAGGATCGACCAAGGGCACGACTGTCATCTGGGGCGACTACGGTCTCCGAATGAAGGATCACCACCGAAGAATCAGCGCTAAGCAGCTCAAGAACGCTGAAGATACGATTAAGATGAGATTACGTGGTCAAAAGTACCGGCTGTACAAGAGAGTGTGCTGCAACGTTGGTGTCTATGTGTCTGGTAACGAGGTAAGGCGGATGTTGAGGAATTATGGGCGATAGTCAAGTGCTGATTCCCGGACTAGATGCGTATGGGTAAGGGAAAGGGTTCTTTCGATCATTGGGCGGCGCGTGTTGCTGTCAACCAGATCGTTTTCGAGATCAGAGGAATGCTTCACGAGGCTGTTGCGAAGGATGCCTTCCGTCTGGCGGGTAACAAGTTGCCCGGTGAGTACATTCCCAATTGCGTGAAGCACAGCCAAGACTGACTTGATGCTAGGTCAATGGGAGTTTGTACACAAGGGAGCGGCCCCTGTTGTTGGTATTACGAAACTTGAGAACGGTGTTACGTTGGAGGATCTGAAGAGACCAAGAAAGGCGATTGCGCCTGAAGACTTGCTGGCTGAGGCAACGAGCAAGCCCACCAGCGCGGCGTCTACCGCTACGCCGTCTGCAGCGCCCTAAAGTTTTGGATGAAAATGATTGTAACATTTACCGCTCTTAACTTTGAGATAGGCTCAGCGCAATCTCAAGTTCATGGAGTGGCTGTACTATAGATGACCTTACCAGATGGGGAGGTGTCATTGCGACTGTACAAATAAAGGAAATACCTTTCACACCCATCATTAGTCTACCGTGGGATTATCATTGAAAAATGTTTTTTGCACGCATAGGTTTTTATAGAGTCGGATGAATTCGAGGGTCGTTACTATGCGCCAAGTAATGGTGTATGCCTCAAAGCTATCATGTGTGGCTTGAGGGCACGGGCCTATGCCACCAGCCACGCCTCGATATTTCCCACTTAACGCGAACGCGTCTTCTTTCAGAGCGCATCACCAGAAAGTCCCACGCTCTGCAGCCCGCTCCGCCAGCCAACTTCAGGTCTTCAACACGGCGTTTTCCACATCACAGCAACCAAAATGGCGCTTATTGTCGATAAACATAGACCAAGGTCACTAGATGCTCTGACATACCATCAGGAGCTTTCAGACCGTCTTGGCTCTCTGGTAGGAAGCTACAAATCTGCTCTCTCCCAGGCAGCTGCTCACACATTTTACAGGCTCAGAGCGGAGATTTCCCCCATTTATTGGTATACGGTCCGTCCGGCGCTGGAAAGAAGACACGCATCGTTGCCACACTGAAGGAGCTGTACGGACCCGGTGTAGAGAAGATCAAGATCGATGCGCGTGTTTTCCAGACGTCGAGTAACCGCAAGCTCGAATTCAACATTGTCGCGTCAAACTACCACCTCGAGATCACCCCGTCAGACGTCGGAAACTACGACAGAGTTGTCGTTCAGGATCTGCTGAAGGAGGTGGCACAGACGCAACAGGTCGATCAGTCGGCAAAGCAAAGATTCAAGGTCGTGGTCATCAATGAGGCAGACCACCTTACCAGAGATGCGCAGGCTGCGCTGCGTCGCACGATGGAGAAGTACTCTCCTAACCTACGATTGATCCTCCTAGCGAATTCGACGGCAAACATCATCGCCCCCATCCGATCGAGAACACTGCTGGTCCGAGTAGCTGCACCAACCCACGAGCAAATTTGTGAGGTCCTGGCAGTGTCAGCGAAGAAGGAGAACTGGCCCATGGTGAAGGGCCTGCATATGAGGATCGCGCAGGAGAGTGGCAGGAATTTGCGACGAGCTCTGCTCATGTACGAGGCTGTCCACGCACAAAAGTAGGATACCTTTGCACGACATTTGCAGGATCAGAAACTAACAAGCCAACAGTGAGAAAGTCACGGATAGCACACCAATCCCGCCGCCAGACTGGGAGGCACTTATCAGCCAGATAGCGAGGGAGATTGTCGATGAGCACACGCCGGCACGGATTCTCCAAGTGCGAGCAAAGCTATACGATCTTCTCACGCACTGCATCCCGCCAACCACGATTCTCAAGACGCTCACCTTCAAGCTCATTGCATTGATCGACGATGCCCTGAAGGCGGAGGTGATCAAGTGGTCGGCATTCTACGAGCACCGGATCAGGATGGGCACGAAGGTCATCTTCCACCTGGAAGCGTTTGTGGCCAAGTTCATGAGGATCATGGAGATGTACTTGATGAGCATGGAGCTGTGAGCGAAATGGATAATACAAAAGGAGGCGTTTAGGGGTTCAAGGCGGCATATGTCGGGGGCACATACTTCTTCTACTACTAGCGGGCACGCCAGGCCAGTGCCAAAATGCAAACAAGTCCACTTCGCGGTTCCCAACCAGCTGGGTCTCTCATGTGTTTCGCCATCAGTCCGATTGGATGTTTATGAGTGTAAGTTGAGCGTCCAATGTCTCCAAGAGCATTCGGAGCCGCAGTGCATGCATGTGGTAACTTATGATCGATCGGCAAAGCCTCACGGCAGGGCCCATATTTCCAGTCAGGATGACCGACCAGGGTACCGAGGATAGAATGTCAGTTTATGTATCTTGGGTGCTTAGGCGACGATGCTGCCTCACGCAGGATGCAAGTGAACCTATTGCGTAAATCTGATAGGTCTAGGACGGCTCCTCTTCTTTTTTTGCTTGCACTCAACAATCTGTCATCAGGAGTTCCCCAACAGAAAGGGCGAAATTCCCACATGCTTAGATGGGGATGCCAGAGATCCATATTCTGCCGCACGAGGCTCGGAGGACGCGGTGATTTATCCCAAATGGCCCGTTTGGGAGTATCTCCGATTTCCAGAATAAACCCCGACCAAAGGTTGAAGCAACAACACTTTTTTTCTTTTTTTTTTCTCGCTCTTTGACACGGACAGGTAATCCGTACCCTGTGTTTCTCCACACAAATCGCTTAGATGTGAAAGGATCCTTCGCCCGGGTTTCCCGTAAAGAAGGAAGACCCCTCCAGCCCTCCTTCCCGGGCCACAATTTACAGATGCGCCGGCAACGACGGCGGGACGGCGTTTTGCCCAAGCCTTCCCCCGCGGGTGTCGGGTATGCCAAGACTACTTCCATTCGTCCATCCTATGAGACGGCGGGAGGTGGACTGACCCGGATGAGCAAGGAAAGGTTAGGTCGGAATCAGTCTCACACATGCTGCACAGCAAGAACAACGGAGCAGGGGGGTAAATGTGAGGAAGGGCAAGGGACCCGGCCTTCTGGAATGGCAGCACGCAGCACGACTAAAACAGCGCATCACAAGCACGGGCGCGCACTTGCCCCTGTGTATCGATACTTCACTGAGGTACTTCGACTGGTGGACATGGAATATCCGGGTGCCCACGGGGTAAAATGCGGGAAGTCTGTGAGCTGTCTGGGGAGTCCAGGGTTGGGTGAAAGGGTTCTGAGGGGGAAAACGCGGAGGCGAGGTGTTTAACTGCAGGAGGCCGTCACGCCACGTTTGGTGCTGGAGAAAATTTGCTAGCTGAAACGTGAATCTCTTCAATTCGATCATGTTCGCAGAGTCGACAGGAACCAGCATTTTGGTATCCTCTTTGGAGGAAATGGCCCTGGGTATGAGGCAAGCCACTTTCCAGCAGACAGCGCCAGGCGTCAGGTACACAAAAACATGATGCAGGTGCCTTAGGTAAGACAGGCAGTACACAGCACCTGCCTGTTGTGTGTTGCATCAGAGGATGGCATCCAACTACAAGCAATCCATGGGCGTCTCTTTTCCTCTCTTGAACCTGCGCAAGCACGAGCGGGACTTCCGTTTAACCCCTCCAACCACACACGCACACCACCACTCGCTACACCAGCAATTTCTATCAATGGTTTTCTTCTGCCTGCAGGGTGCTAGTACAGATGTGCCCCTCCATTTGCCTACAGGCCCATGCCATGCTGCAGCAATACGACAACCAACCTCCTCATGCTGCCTGCAACTTCAGATGGAGGTTACTTGGTTCCCCCAACTGGCGGCGGCCTCGACGGCGGCCATGATAGCTCCGATGCAACTCTAGTATCATGGAGAACAGATCACCCAAGTGGATGCTACTATTCGTACCAATGTACTACGTACGGAATACTTTGGCAGCCTCCGTAGGTTATTCTGTGGACCGCAGCCGACGTCGGAGATGCCGCATGATAGGACTGCAGTCATCGACAGTCATCACAGTGGGTTCGGGAGCATTTTTTCTCTTCCGAAGGACAATCGGCAACAAGCGCGAGTGCGCAGCCTGAGAGATTACCCACAATCTGCAAGGAGAAAGAAGACAGTTACAAATTGCGACTGCAGGTGTGGTGGATTACGACCCCGGAATCTGCGAGACTTTGTTGAATCCCGACCCAATGCCAGACCCCGAAATGCCTACGAGGAACAGCGGGGCCTGCGGAGCCCTGGGACCGTTCGATTCTCGACTTTATTGAAGTTACCTCCCGTTGGATGCTCCGATACAACCGGCATACATTTGTTTGAAGCACAACATCATTGCCTTTGAGAGGACCTGGGTTGATATGGTCGTTGCAAGGTCGTCAAGAAGTCGCGGGAGCCAAGCCAAAGGACACAATCATCAATATGTCATCGTTGGGGTCGTGGCCAATCACGGGGGCCGGAACGCCACGGCACTCCAGGGTCGCGCGCCGTGATCAGCATCCATCGTCCTCGGCTGGCGTACACTTGGCTGGGCGACAGCCGCATGGCTTCCTGAATAGCGGCGCAATGCGGTCAGCCTAGGAGGTAGGAGACCTATGAGGCGCAAACTCGACGCCGCTGGGGAAGAAGAGTGCGGGGAACGCTGGCCAGGTGAGGGGCAAGCTTTGGTGCCTCGTTCGCTTGACGCCAAAATGATTTGACAGCAAAGCGTCGGGAGACCAGTCTGCTGCATTGACAAATTCTTGGAGCTTCCGGTTGTCCTCGGTCTGGCTCGGCCACTCAAGCAACCAAGGTGATGATGGACGAAGAAGTCGGGTGATGGGCGCCACTTATCCCACTGGCGCATTCTCGGCGAGTTCAGGCCAGGACACGAAAAGACAGGCTACAAACCGAGACAGAAGACCATGAGAGATGTCGACACTCACAGCCGCGGTGCAAGAAGAAAGCTCCACCGAGACGGTGGCTCACAATATCTCCTGCTACGATGAAGTGACATGGTCAATGGTAAATCGATGAATATATATCATAGGGCCGACTTTAGGCGGTCAGGGTATCCATACAGGCTATTTACGAGCACGAGCAGGAGACAACTTCAGTACCGACACTGATTGACACGCGGTGCCCCCGTTTTAAGACAGGCTCCCTAGCGCTGATGGTGTGAAAACGAATGGATCGCCACTTGTATACATGAGCGCAAGACTATGAGAAGGCTCTTGGACGTCGTCACCGTCATCCCAATAGCAGGCTACCATGGATCACGAGCAGGGTCAGGGTCATTGGGCGTTCAATTTGCTCGGCCGGTCGACGGGAGAATCTAATCGGTAGGCGGACAGAGTTCGTCGCATTCAGATGAGCTACGGATACTTGGTAAAGTACTTGCAAGGCACAGTTGCGAGGTCCAATTGTGTCTTTTTTGTCTCTCATTAGCGCAGAAACCCTTCCCCTCCCCCAGACCAAGACCAACCGACGGGCCCAGGAGCATCCAGGCGCGGACGGCAGGCGGGCTGGCGGGCTCCTTTGGCGAGTTTGGAGACGGGTAGCTTGGCGTCCTTGGGCTCTGGGGAGAAGGGTCAAAAGGTACATTCGTCTCGTCTTTGACTGGACGATGCAGGTCTGCGCGGTGTTGGGAGCTGGGTTGGACGCGAGGGGTTGCAGGGAAGGGGAGGGTTCGCAGGTGGTTCGGGGCAAAGGAAAGGCAAGACGCAGCTCAACCCCCGGCCAAGCGGTAGCGGTACAGCGGTACAGAGTACGGAGATGGACCAGCCACAGCCCGCCTACAGGCTACAGGAAGCGGACGGGATTGCGGGGTGCCATGGCAAATGATGACCAATGGAGGGCAAGGGATGGGCTGAAGGAGTTTCCCTTTCCGCATGGCTTGTCCCTTTTCTCCATAACATCATCGGCCTGCGCTGCAGTGTACCATGATCCGTGAATGTGCTCCGTACCGTGGATGGGGCTCCTTGTAGATGGAGACCTGGCTGTATTCACTGACACTCCACACAATGCCCAAATCTGGGACCTTGGGCTGCCGGAGATGCTGTATGAGGGTGACTTAGTATTGTGAGACTTAAGTAGTGGCTGTCAACTGAAGCTATGTATGTTCGGGTATGTATGTGTAAGGTAAGGCAAGGTACGGAGTACGGTACCGAGGAGTGAGTGAGTGAGTGAGTGGCTAGTGTCGTTACAAGGAAGCTTCCTTTTAGCTCTCAAGCTTGACGCGGTGCACCGTCCCAGGTCCCGAACAGCGTCTCCGGCTCAAGTTGTCGGTTGACGTGCCCGGAGTGGGAGTCCACGTTTACCAGACGTTCCCAGTACAAGTCCCAATTCCCCATTCGTCCATTAAAAGCAATCCTATCCCCCGTCCAATTCGCGGCTCGGCCACCTGGAGAGCTGGTCTTCTTAATTACGACTCACATCCTCTTCGTCTTTCCCAATTCCTCCTACTCCTCCTCTTCTCTTCACTTCCACAACCCATCTCCGATTACTCCTACATTTCTAGGACATCTCCCCTCTCAGTTACATACGCATAAAGCAAACACAACGAGGACAGGATTCAAGGGAACCACCCATTGGGACGTCGACTTGTTTTCTCTGCTGCCGCTACCCGCTTTGCAGCAACGCCTATCTAGGACAACACGCGACTCGACGCTTGACTTGTGGAGAGTTGCGCCAGTTCCGACCCCAGCTTGCGCGCGACCTCCCATCATTACTGCACGAGCAGGACTGCTTCTCTTACGACGAGGACGGCAAAGGCGGACGATTGTCGCACGATTCTCACAGCTTAGCAGCGCCAGCGGATCTCTCGAAGCTCGACAGAACCTCTACAAGCCTGCACAAAGTACCCCGCATCGCTTCATAAACAGCACACAATACACACAAACGCACGCACGCAGCACACACACACATAAACCACCCCGCCGCCACAATGACCGATGCCGCAGAGCCACAAAAGGCCCCCGTGGTCGCCGAGGCCCACCTCGTTGATACCTTCCGTAAGCCCGAACAGAACCCCAATTTCCTAGCTCCATTTCTGGTCTACTTTTGGTCCCTCGCGCCAAACAGCACCGAACGTCTGCGTCTGCGTCCTTACCCCTTCAACCGCATTTACACGGTTCTCTGGGCGAGCGCAACGCAAAGCCTGACTGCTCTCGCTTCGACCAAATGGTTTTATTTGCATGTCTGTTGGGAGAACCACCATGGCTAATTTTGAATCCCAACAGATCCCCCCCAAAAGATGCTTGACAGTAAGTGCGCCGCCGATTTGCAGAAGCCAGATTCCAGACCCAGACACCCAAGAGTCAGACCCAGTTCCATGGCCTGTTGCCGTCCGAAAGTCGCGTGAGGGGCACTGGAGATTGCCCATGGTGGCTGCAGGGGGTTTGTGGTTACTGTGGTCAACCATATGGATCCCCATCAAGTACTTTGTACTTTCCATGGGAGAAAGAAGGAGGGGCAGCGCAATTCGGAGCTATTGATTGGACATTTTGGGCTAACAATTCTGTCTCCTTCCCGCAGAGCACCCCAGCAAGCCCCACTTGAGCAGTAAGCCATCTTCCCCTCTTTACCCCAATTCCTCCCCTCTTCATTGGCTGACCGGAGCTCCCCCTTCCTCTCCCCTGTTGCAGGTCTCGAGGACTACCAAAAGTTGTACAAGGAATCCATCACCGACCCAAAGGCCTTCTGGGGCACCAAAGCCCGCGAGCTCCTGTCTTGGTTCAGTGATTTCCAGACCGTCTACTCCGGTTCCCTGGCCGGTGGTGATAGCGCTTGGTTTGTTGAGGGCCAACTCAACGCCTGCTACAACTGTGTCGACCGTCACGCCTTCAAGGACCCCAACCGCGTTGCCATCATCTACGAGGCCGACGAGCCTGGCGAAGGCCGCAATGTCACCTATGGCGAGCTGCTCCGCGAGGTTTCACGCACCGCCTGGGTTCTGAAGCAGATGGGCGTGCGCAAGGGAGACACCGTTGCCATCTACCTGCCCATGATTCCCGAGGCCATCATTGCTCTCCTCGCTTGCGTCCGTATCGGCGCCGTC